TTGGAACTTTCGACACTCACCATAAATCATTGAATTTTGCCACTTTGTCCAAAACTGAGTGAGTTTTAATCTTCCTCCGAAGAGTGATAAAGTGATTTAAAATATTTATTGTTTATGAATGCTGAATTCTTCATTGTTCTTTTATGTTGTGTTGTATATATTTTTTAGTGAGACATGATGAAAGTTTTTGATCCCTTGATAATATATGCCAATTTGAATAACAAAATTTGTTCGATAAAAGCTATGGATTTATTTTGCTTCACTTTGTAATTTACTTCTATTTATGTAGCGCCTACTGGTGTTTCCAGCTACAACATGAGTTAGCTATTTGAATAATGACAAACCGTTTTTAAAAACTAATTTATTACTAAGTAATTAGTACAAGTATACTTCAGCGTAGTTGTACTCTGACTGACACTTTAGATTATTTCAATTGCATGAGAAAGATATGATGATACTTAATAACGATTATCAAGAGTATTTCTTGGCTGCTAATACAGCGGAAGCAATGGRGACTCTAACATGGGGACAATAACTCGTRTAAAATCTCACCGCTGTGCTTCCTCCAGAAATRAATATAACTGGTGTCAAAGCRGRAAACATSTTTGGAAGGTCTGACACTTTTGTGGTTACATATACCGTGTATGGTTAGTGCTTAGTGGTTAAAGGTTTGAGGTAAAACTCAACCTCTACACAGGAGTAACTTTGGCCTTCTTTTGACTTTTTTGCGCATTCGAAATTACATTGGGTTGTTTTCTGTACCCTGTACCTAGTGGTGGGCAAGTCGGGTCATTTTAAAGACCCGGATTTTCGGATCCGGTGCAGGGGGCGCGCGCCTCGTCCCTGAGCATATACTTTTCATTATTTAACATGCAAATTAATATGGTTTTTTATTGTTTTTTTAAATATTATTCATTGCTCTTTGTTGTTTTTAAGTGTAATAAAAAACCTGCAGAATGAAAGTTGTGGTAGACAACAATCAATATTCCTTTATTACTGAACTGCCCCTCAAGAAACTCCCAGATCCGCCACTGGGGCATGTCAATATGAAATGCGTTATTTATTGTAATGACGCCAAACTTTTTCTAAGTTTGTTTCTTTCTAACAATATAAACATATAACAATACTTATTTATATGAGTAATTTCTCAAAAATATCGGTATATACATTTTGCTGCGTTTTACTTTCGAATTTATTTTTTTAATATAGATTAAGTTGTATTTCAATAGAAKAACAAATCACAGCTCAGGTTTGGACGTAATTAATTTCTTCTATCAAAATAATACGTTGAATTGTAAGTRATAATAYACATGATTACAAAAATTTTATCGAAAATTGAAATAGTTAAAAAAGGTACTTGYATTAGGTATTTTTAAGCTCCCAATTATAAACAATACAAAGACCATTTGTTGTTATAATAGGAACCATAATAATACAGTACTAAGCCTAAGTATTAGGTATTTATATATGTATTTAAAAAAATTCTCAGAAGATTTAATAAAGTTGATGTTCCATAAATTAATTTTGTCCAATTACTGCAAAAATTGTCCAATAATTTTTCCACATCATTTAATTTTTTTGACGATAAAAATTAGATTATACTATTTTGTAACCAGTTTTATTAGTTTTCATTTAATGTTGATCACAGACCTCGAAGGCTTTATAAATATATCTTAAGTGTCCAATAACTGCCTAGTTTACTCTATATAAAATGACAGAAAGTAAATACAAGTTTAATCCTTGTTTTAATTTTATTTTCGTAATTTTCACCGTGCAAGTGCACACTATTTATTGTAATTATACATTTCTTCATAATTAACGTCTAATTTTAAATAAATTAATTTCTAAAAGCAAAAAACAGTAATTTTAAGTACAAGAGCGACCAGTGTCGATTTTCAAACGACGACGACGTTTCGATTTCGCTTCAAGTCTCGGGCAGGTAAGGTACATTTCTTGATTAATTTGAATTAAAAACACTTTGCTAAGTTTGTTTATGTTTATATCGCATTTTAGTAACTAATTTTTTATTTTACTTTTATTGGTCTTTTCTGCTGTGAATTACATTCGAAATTAAAGCGGTCCTGTATTCTCATTATTTCTTTACTAATTTCTTACAAAACCTTTTATTTGGTTGTCTTGGCTCATTTATAATATATTTCAAAATATCAAATTAGTTAACTTATTTTGTAACAAGTTGAGATTGACAGCTCCTTATTATCCAGGGTGTCCAAATAATTGCTAAACGCCTATATAGATTTTCACTAGTTACTACATAACAAACAAGTACAATACAAACAATTTCAATATACCAACTACAACCAATTACCACATAAATTGACCTGTTTTTAGATAAGCGTGATTTCTTTTTAATACGTGGAAATACTAAAAATCAAGCTTGGTTCGTTAATAAATGTTATTTTTGTTACACCCTCCGCAGGTAATTTTAATTGAACTATTTTTTTTTGTGCAGTAACTGTATATCTGGCGAAAATTTCACAAGGGGCGAAACGTTTAAAAAAAGCCGAAAATAATTACAATTATTTGTACAGCGGGTAACAAAAACAACCATTTATTAACGAACTGTGCGTCATTTTCAATATTTTCTCGGATTAAAAAAATATCGCCATTACATCAAACCACATCCATCTATGTAGTATTTAGGTAGAAAATTGATCAAGGCGCATAGAAATGCTTTTTTGCAAACTAACAGTATGTTAATTTGAGAACTTTGGCTCAATTTGCCGGCAAAATGAAGCAATATTGGATATACAGGGTCCTTCTTTGGGAGCTTTTTAAGTTTCTGCCAAACCGAAAGTACCAGAGTTCTGAAAATTTCAATACAAAGTAACGATTTTGGGCCTAACTCCTCTAAAATATTTGCAAGTCGGTATCGGTTACATCGAAAGTATGTACTTACTAGCTCATTTTAAATAGAACACCGCGTTTATTATTACATACTTACTTATATTATTACATGACCTGTGAATAATTCGTTGTTACGCCTATTTAAGTCAATCGATTTGAATATAGCTTTAGCTTGTTGTAGCCAAAGCTGCTATGTCTCAATCTGCAGAAAATAAGTTTTCCATCGCTTATAAGAAAGAAGTTAGGGAAAATTAAACTTAACTGTCAAAAAAGGCATATTACCCAAAAAATTCAAATGGAAACTCCAATCCAAGATCGTTGGTTTGCCAATAACGCTCCATTTCAATGGGCACCTAGGTCACCTGACCTTACGATCATGGATTTTTCTCTTTGGGGTCGAATTAAAGATCTTGTTTATGCTGCACTATTAACAACAAAGGAAGATTGCATTGCAAGGGTGCGAAATGCCTTCAACTCTCTTTCTCCTGAAGAGATTCAAAGAGCTACAAATGGGGCTGCTACAAGGCGTGTTCAACAATGCCTTGCGTTTAACGGACAACATTTTGAACATTTACACTAATTAAAAATTAAAAAAATAATGAATAAGCAATACATTTTTTTAATAAATTAAGAATTTTTTTGAAAATAACTATGAAACTATAACGTTTAATTGCATAAGACTTTCCTTAAACTTCCCTTAGTTTTTGTCACTAAATTGATCTGAATTGAAGTTTTTATTTGAATGTTTTGGGTAATATGCCTATTTTTGAGAGTCAAGTTTAATTTTCCATAATTGCTTTTTTATAAGAGACGCAAAACTCATTTTTTGCGCATTAAGACATGGCACCTTTGGCTACAACACGCTGAAGTTATATTCAAATCGATTGATCTAAATAGGCGGAACAACGAATTATTTCCAAGTCTGTAGCCGTCAGTGTTTTTGGAAAAATTAATAGTATTCAACAATGGTTGAAATTATGTACCCAGTTCATTTAACAAAATGGCCCAAAAATCCGACAGAGAATCGAAAAATGTAATAATATACAGGGTATTCCATTTAAAATAAGTGAGTAAGTACCTTATTCCGGTATAATTGGAAGTGGTACCGACTGATAAATATTTTAGATCATATAGTCCCGACATCATTGTATTCAAATATTTAGAACTCTGGTAATTTTGGTTAGGCAGTTACTTCTAGTGTAGGCTCCCTAAAACGGACCCTATATATAGGTAAGTTTGTCTAGATCGTCTTATTTTCGAGTGAGAAATTTGCAGTTCAACGTTGTGCAGTTGTTATAGAAACACCAAGTATATATATATTTTTAAGCAGGGAATATTTGCACAAAAGTTCTCGTTGATTCAAACGGGTTCAGAGTACTGCAGCTAGTGTTTTCCACGAGCGAGTCTTTCTAAACTCTAAAATCCTCGTTGCCAAATGATGTGGTTTTAGTAGAATTCATAACAAAGGTATTGAAATTAAACAAAAGGTTCATTTCAATTTTAACATCACGTCTATGAAAACACAGCAATGAGTGAACGTAAATATAAAAACTTTTTTTTCTTAAAAAATATTTCTGTTTTTTGCGAAAAATCTTGTCCATCCAGTAGAATAATGCATGTAGACGTTTCCATTTATTTGTTAGTATGCGTGAGGGCGAAGACAGTGAAAATTCAAGGCAGAATAAACAATATTTGTTTGTCAAAATTTAGCAAATTTTTGTGGACATATTTAAGCATATTTTAAACCTGAGTCGTTCAATGGTTTTTTGATTAATATTTGCAATATATTTTTAACAGGAAGCTCAGGCCAACCTTCCAGATTATTATTCTCTTTTTCATTTTACAGTTTTGCTAGCTGTTGTTGCCTGAATAATTATTTGCTAAATAACGTAGTTCATAAATTTACTTATTACTTTTAATAGTATAAACAACTATAAAACTGAATGAAATAAATAAACTGAATAATTCCACATTTTTCCGAAAGGTGTACGGAGCTACGAAATAATCCAAGGAAACATAAATCCCGACGTTATTGAAATAAATAAAGGTCTTTTAAAAAGGTGTAGTGCCAGTAACGCTTGACGACTCAAGGCGATTGCCCTTTCTGTTATTTCACGCAAAACGAATCAAATAAATACATTTGAAGTTTATATTTGTATAACAAAACACAAATCATTTTTATTATTGATCTGAATTTCAGTGTACAAAAGATCCCGTAAATTTGCCGCTGCCATACAATTCCGCTTCATTTCCTGAAATAAAAAGTACCAATTAATTAATGTACAAAAATTCCCGGGATTCAGTGATTTGTTTTACAATATTTGCAAAAGAGCATTTTAATCAATCAGTTTTGATATTTTCCTCCATCATCAGTACATCACCAGTGTATCATTTTATGTAAATTAATAATCTCTTACTAGGAGCAAAGATGCTATGAATTGGTATTTTTATATTTGTTTGTCGTATTCGGTCCTACATCTTTGAAGGGTCTCTTCAAGAAAGAAAGAACATATGGCGAAATCATAATTAAACAAAAAAACGATTTATATAAAATCAAGACTGTATGGACACAATAGTTTTCAATTTTAATAATGATCTCTAATATTATAGACACATGTGTATGTTGGTTAAAAAAAAATAAGTAACTTACATGCCGGTATGCATCGATTAAGGCAGCAATTGCACTCATTCTCAACTAATTGTTGACCACTCGGACATCTGGAGGTGCACTTAGCGCAGCGTACAAGGCTTGGAGGACATAATGTGGCTGCGCTCACCATATACATTGAAGCAGCAAGAGTCAACAGAAGGCAACAAAAAAATAATAACTTCATTATCAGACTAAACCTATTTGGTTGGATTTACAGAATGAACTAAATAAGAAATGTACTGGTATATTGTCAGCAAGACTTCCCATCTTATTGCTTGTATTGGTTATTATACCCGTAATAAAAACAAAGTAGCTGGAATTATAGCTCAGCACAACAAATTTGATAAATATTTTACTGGGACAGTGGGTGACCTCGATTGCAAAAACGTACATGCCTATTTTTAAACATTACCTTTATAAATAATTATTTTATTGAGTCAACGTAATGTTTAAATTAGAACATAAATGTCTGATGAAGGAGAAGCAATTTGCAAAGTTAGGACAACCAATTTATAACAACAATTTGTAATAAGCTAATTTGCACATACTGTGTTCGTAGCAGTAAATATTTATTCATATTTTGGTAGTTTTTTTGTTCTGCCCACATTTGACACATAAATTCCTTAAAATATGTTCTTAAATGATACAAATTAACTAAGTATTAAACATAGTAGCAGATCATAGTATTCCTAATAACACCAACTCAACCAATCAAATATAAACACCTATTACAATTTTCGCGAATCTCTAGATATTTTAGATTTTAAATATTAGTATGTTTGTCGGGCGGTAGTAACAAAACTTGAAGTTTTGCATAATGCTTCTAAATTGGCGTAATTTGTTTGCATATGTTTAAAAGATACACATAAATAGTAATAAATAAATGATTCACTGTAAAAATGGAGTTAGTCTGGAAAAAAACTCCTTAATTTGGAAAATGTGTTTTGAATTATGACTTACAAACCACGTTCTTTTCATTCACATGTGCAACGCTAATAAGACCACACCGATATATTTTATAATCAGCTATTACTCGGTGACTCTGCTGAGGTCTCAGATCACAGACAAATTCCTCCAAAGCTTGTAATATTTTTAAGTTCATTCAAAAGTAATAAAAAAAAAAAATTGACTGGAACCCAGGAATTTTCTTTTGAAATAAGTTGAAATACAGTCAGAAAAATATACACAATGAATATTTTTAGTGCGTATTTCTATTGGTTCGCAAACTCAAAATTGTCTTAAAATCGGTTTCGATGAGTACTGCAATAAATTTAGCAACCACCGAAAAGTTAAATTGTGGCAGCTGTTGTTTTTTAGTGTACTACCAAAAATAAGCTTTTGTGGAATAAGCAGAGCAGCGAAACACGCGTGTTTCATCAAAATTGTTTGGCTTATACAGTGAGGAATACAGCGTTACTCAAATGAAAAAAAAAATTGGTGTAAATACGCTGTTACAGAACAATGGGATCAAACGTATAAGAAGTGTTCAAGGCATCAACATTTTAGTAGATAAACTCATGTCCGGAAATGTGTCCTTTCGGCTTTGGCTTTAAGACGATTTTAGACCTTTTTTACAAAATCATTTCAATCTCATAGTCTCAAATTTTATGGAGTTTTCGTTAATTGAATTAAAATTGTTGGTACGCATTAGCTAAAAATTTTTAAAAACACATAAAGTAGTAAAAATAGGTACACATAAACTAGTAAGTACTTTTTATTAAATTTTTGTTGAGACAAAAATAATTTTTCAAACAGATGTTTACTTGACAGATTACTTGATTTGTTTCATAAATTTACTCGTTTCAAAAAACCCCTCCTCTTGTCTTCTTGCGGTTTCAAGACAGCCAAGACCTAAAAGAATCTAATGTTTCCTAATTATGGGTTTGTGTTGAATTTGAAATCTGATGATGGCGTTGCAGTCTCGCCGAAACGTTATATGAAATAAACGATATGAACAATTTTTTTTCACACTTTGACTGAAAACCAGGAAAGAAAAAATATAATAACTATTACACGCAGGCAGGAAAATAAATCAAAAAATAATTTTTTAATGAATATTTCAAATTAGCTAAATTATTTAAATTTAATAGGCGATAAAAGACATTCAGGCAGGAATAGATATGGTTTGTAGTATGTACACTCCGATATTATTTTAATTTCTCTTCTCTTCTTATTTGCCAACCATTTTTCATTCATTTCTGGATGTAGGTCTGTTCTAATTGTTTCCATCTTTCTCTATCCTTCGCAAATTTCATCCACTGTTTTCCTGCCACTGCTTTGACGTCACACCCTTTTTGAGATCTTACCTTGCTTATTGTTGTCTCTTTTGGCCTCCGGTGTAGGATTCTACATGTTCAGTTTCATCAGTTTTTATCATATCTGGCTGTACGACCAGACTATCGCCTTTTCATTTCGGCTACCTCCTCCACGATGTCCCTAACTTTAGTTTTGCGTCTTACCTTACAAGCATACTTCGCTCCATAACCCTTTCGGTTGTCTCCAATTTTTAAGCAGACTTTTTGGTAAGGGACATGGTGTCTACTCCGTAGGTGCACACCGGTATGCGCAAGTGTCGTATACTTTTCTTTTTAGGTTCAAGGGAATAAAACACTTTTCAGTAATATATGTAAGTTTTCCGAAAGCGGCCCATGCTAGTGGTGTTCTTCTTTTTATTTCAGCATCCTGGTTTGATTTCCCAAATCTGATGTCATGGCTCAAGTATACATAGTGGTCGACGTTTTCTATAGTATGGTTTTGTATTGCTATGTTTGCTTGTTTGTGGTTCAGTATTTCTGTTACCTCTAGCTCATTTTAAGGCCTACAGTAGCGGAGACGTCATTTAGCTTTTGTAGCATTTCGTTTAATTCTTGCAGATTATTGGCACGTAAGATTATGTCATCCGCAAATCTGAGATGATTTAAGTATACTCCTTCGATGTTCACACATTTTCTGTCCCATTTAAATTTCTTAAAAATGTATTTCAGTACGATGGCGAATAGTTTGGGCGAGATGGTGTCTCCTTGCCTCTCAGTTTTATGGGCTTTGTTTTTGTTTTCTCGTCCAGTTTTATTTGTATACTTGCAATTTTGTAGATGTTGATTATTATACTCGAATACCTTGAATCAATTCTTGCCTTTTATTCTAAGATTCTAACATTGCCCATAATTCGACGGAGTCAAATGCGTTTTGGAAATATACAAAAGCCACATTAATGTCCCTATTAATGTTCTTATGGTGTGCAGGTCGTGTGTGGTGCTAAAGTGGTTTCTAAATCCCGCCTGTTCGACAGGCTGGTAGAGATAGTAATAACAAAATAATTAATATTTTTTAGAATGTCGATGCCATCGCAACCAGAAGCATGGTTTGGCATTGGCCGCCTAGAACACTGCATCCATTGGCCGCCTAGAACACTGCATCCATTGGCCGCCTAGAACACTGCATCCATTGTATTCTGCATAATACTACTGCTGAGTCTTGAAAAAAATTAAATTCCAACTTGCACAATAAACTATTATTCTATTTCAGCAGTCTGCAAGTTAACAACTATTCGCGCCACCGCAGGGCGTGCTCATTTCACAGCTACTTTACTGCATAACAGAGTCTGTAATTATTATTCTCCAAGCATAAGCTGCTGCATCAATTTCCTAACAAAACCGCCACTTTCCTGACGGTTAATGGGAGGCGAGATATCTGAAATTAGAGGCAAATTGCAAAACTTACCTGGGGGTCTTAATGTGGGGGCACTGAAATGATGAAATAAGTTGGGAAATATGGGTGCTTAATTTATTGCTCTTTGTTCAACCAAACAAGAAATTATTTTCAATCAGTAGAATGGAAAATCGAATTATAGTTAGTTTTAAAACAAACGGCTGTTATCAGATGCGTTGATAGCGAGGAGTTTGGCGTTGTTTGACAGAAATTTGGTTTTCATACTTTATCAAAATTGATCTCAAAGCAATTACCGTTAACTGTGATTTTGTTATAGAGGAACTCTAATCGAAAACTCTTTTAAAATAATAAATCACTGCAGCCAATTTATTCTCATAAAACCCTTAGTTTGGGTTAGCCGAGCTGAACACAATCGATATCGTTAAGTAAATCATTAGTTTGGCAAAATTGCACGTTGATAATTGTGCATTGGTTTATTTGACCTTACTTTATAACGGGTGTGTGAACTATATATTTCTGTATTTGAGATTATTTTTTTAGTAGTCCATTTGAGTACTCATAAAAGAAAATTTAGCAGACGACCTGTCCCCGATGCTTCCCGTAGCTTGAAAACATCAATTAATGCATTATATCCACAGAGGTATCTCAACGGCTTATTAGTTATACTTCTACAAAATATCAATATCATTTTTTAAATGCACGTTTCAATATTTAATAATTGTAGGTAGATTTCTCTATATTTTAATTTTTTCCCACTTATTATTAAAAATTACCGATATTCATTAATGCATTGTTATTCGCCGGGAAACAATTTTTTTTCTCAAAAAGTACGCAATGCTCTTACGAATCCTCTTTAAACGTCGGCCATAAATAGGTGACACAATCTCACCGGTCTTCTGCGGCCAACAATAAATATAAATCATACCAAACTACTGCCCACTTTCGGAGGCATGAATCTTCGGTGATTCCCTCAAACTTTTGGCTCTCAGGACGTTATTATTGCCGGAAACACTACTTCATAGTAGACAAGAGAAATTGTGGCCTTCTTTCGATTTTTTTATGGATTTTTATTAGTAAATTGTCATGTATCTCATTATTAATATAAAACTTATTTATTACACTTAAATACAGGATTTCGCAATCTCAGAATATGTTGTCGACTCGTCAAATATTTAACTTTTTAAATTCAATATAAATTTACATTTTTATTGTATATGTATATAGTGGGCCTGTTGGTCTTGACAGCTTCAGTGCACCGAAATCTCCCCGTTGTGCTCTTATAAACAAATAGTGTAACTTATAATAAAATTAGACTATTCATTGGACGGCCAGAAACGTTTGTGGTTGCTGTCATCATAATTCACATGGGTGACTTTGGCCTTTTTGTATTTTTTTAATGTGACAAACTGCATCATTCTTTTCGATTCTGTATAATTCGTGCATATGTGGAATGACAATTACATTAAACGCATTCCATTCATTAAGAATCACGTATTATTTTTCGTACCAGTAAGTATTGGAAAGGATTAAAATCAAGTGCAGTTACAAAAATAATTTCTGGTAGCCATAATACTGAAGGAAATTAACCTATAATGAAAATGAAGTACAGTGTTTGTTGGTGTTTTCAACTACAAACCACTTTCTACACAACCAACTATTCTAATAATAATCTAAAATCTATTCGATGTTTTC